CCCTCAGAAGAAACGAAGACAGATCCCATATTGAACACAACATCGAAACATTCGAGCGATCGGATTAAATGTGTGGGCAGTATCCGCTGTTTAATGCGGAGAAGGAAAACCCCAGACCGCAAACTGTTTTCCTGCGGGCAGAAACATAATTCTCAACAGTCTTTTGAAAACTTCGGTACGCGCCTGTTACAAGTCTCCCTTCTGCGGTTAAACGCCCAGCGCCAAGCACATCTTTTGGAGGAAGTATCGACTATTTCGAGTTTCTGTTTCCACAAGGAGAGGGGGAGGGGGGGCGGACTTTGCTTCACAAACACCGGATTACCTCACACAGGGCCAAGGAGCCTGCTATCGCAATGGATCAGTTTGGCCAACGCTGTACACGCAGCGAGAAGCTGAAGGGGAGGCTTTGTTTACAAATCGCACGCTAATACAAACATTCGACGACCTCACACGCGAGGCTGTTTGACGAGGTCAGTTCGTGGTCTCGCACGCCCAGAACAGATCCAGTATTTAGACGAAATATTAGATCAGGAAGGAAAAAATGGGGCGTAATCCTGAACAGCGAACAGCTCCCGTTGGAACTGAGATCGGCCACGGGCGGGCGGGCAGACAAATTCCTTTAAAAGTGCGAGCGAAGAGTTTTTCGATGATGTGGTGACAATTGCAGAAGTGATCGTAGCGCCAACGAAATCGTTCTGGCGCGGGGCGCAAATCCGAGGTCAGAAAATGGTCGGTGCACTTTTCGTTTCGATGGGAATCCTCCCCTGACCCAGACTTCGGCCACAATTACGGAGCGCTCAGGAGGGATCAAACACACAAACAAAAGATTCAGAAGTCTCAGGCCAAAACATTACAACTGACGAATCTGTCTTGCTCTTGAAATGTCGAATTTAATTCAAATGCATTGCTCTGAAAGATGCTAAATTTGGTACAAAACAGGATATCTGTGGTCCTTCTTTGGGTACACTGGGGCGAAGATGAACTGCCAAGCAAAAGTTACCGCCGTCCCCTTGCCTGTGAACAGATAAGCCCCCCCCCCTCTCGTCAGGACAGTCGTCGACAGTGGCGTTTATTTGAACCTGCCACAGTCGAGGGACAATAAGTGCCATTTCAAAGCAAGGGGAAGAAATAGTGAAGCCCTCGGTGGCCTCGGATTACAATTACAACATGAGCGGCGTCGATCAGAAACACGAAATGGCCTCAGAGCACTTCGCCCCCGTGAAAGGAGCGAACAGATCTTATAGGTTCCTGCATCTTAAGAGGGACGAAAGAATCGAAGAGGTTGTCGACGAACATTCGAAGGCCTGGCACACAAAGTTAAACTAGAAACACAAACAATTGACGAAGACGCCGCGTCGTCCGGCAGACGTGTTTCGTCCTGATGATGGAGGCAGCAAGGACCCCTAAAACTGCGGTGAACTCGTTCGAGACTACAAGGCGCTACGACCCAGAAGGCAGTCATCTTCGTACTCGCCGCCGTGAGCACATCAAATCTTACGAAGGAAAAATTGTCTCTCGACCGAACGAAGCGATAAAGAATGAGGAGCTTCACGGGTCTGCACAGCTTCCGATAGAAGGACCAAACCAAAGAGAACGAGACTGCCGGAAAATGCCAGACGACATGTGCTTTTCGGAAAACCTGGGCGCAGATGTGATAACAGCACTGACATGGCGTTTATGGTGGAGGGTTTGAATTCCACTCGTGAGGAAATACCAGCTTCTCAGGAGGATTTTGCTACACGTCGCGTGTTAGAAACGGTATTTAAGCAGACTTCCCCGCCGGCATTACATTCGACCCGAGTTCCTACCGTCCTGCAACGCAGAATCAACATTTCGGAACAAGAAATTGAATTAACGACCTGTTCCGACTGATTTTTTAGAAGCAAATTAATCACAGAAATGCACTGTGAACGTGCACGTGGCGTTGCAGATCGCCAACCACAAACATTTTATCCACGGTCAGAACCAAAAATTTTCACACTGAGTACGGCTTCTTAAGTTCCCAGCACTGCAGAAAGCGAAATAATAAATTCTTGATCAAGACCACGTCAAATGCGGCGTCCGCTGGTTCGCGTATAAAACGACTTCATATCCTAAGCCGGGATTGACGTGATGAGGTCGTTGCTATGACAACAAGGTTGTCAATAAACCCAGCGGGTCGGTTCTGCCTGCGACCTCGATGGTAAGGAGAAATTGCCACGCGAGCGTATCACTTTCAGTAAAATCTTCGAAAGGAATATATTTCACAAACTCGAAGCATTTCATTGCAAGGAGAAGTATTTTATACTTCGCTAAAATATTAACAGGATACAAAACACCGAAAACAAAAAGCCTCAACTAGAATCCAATGGACTAAGTAACTGGATTCTTTTGCGACACGATCTCCCATTTCAGTAAATAATTATATTCGTCCCTCCTCCAACTTCACGACCTTCTTATTCTTCTTCTTCTTCATGAACTCGGGACTTCCCGAATTCGCGCTGCGAGTGTTGACCACTCTCCCGTGGTCTTCGGCGGAGAGTTAATCAATGCCAAGAATTTCTAGCTCCTCTGGAGCTGCACAAGAAGGCGCAGGACGTGCAATGCTCTCTCTGACTGGCTGACGTTCTCACTGCATGCAAGTTCGGGCTGTTCCAATTGCGATCTGCCAAATGCTCGTTCTATCTAGACGCCTTTCAAATTTCGTCGACCGCATTTCCACGAAGCCAACTTGAAGCACGAATCGGGCAAAAGTAGCGAATGCTCGGCTTTCGGGACCAGCGTCATCGAAACCCGCCAAGTAGTTTCGGCGACAAACATGCGAACGGACCGACCAAAGTTTTGTGGCAGTCCTCATCGAAAAGCACGAGGGATGCAAAGTATTTGCATTTGTAGGCCTTACATTTCTTGCAGAAGCCCAGAACGGAAGTCCCTTCTGACTTCGTATTCTTACAAAGAATTACATTTGTTTAACGACGCTGCCACTAGGTCAGACCCGCTCCTACCGCCGCACAAAACATCTGTAGTGAGCCCTAATCGAAAATCTTCGCACCCACAGCGGGTTCAGGGCCGACAATCTCCGGGCGTCCTATTGATTTTCAGACCGAGACGAAATGACTGGCGCCACTAGGACGCGTAACAGCCCTGGCCGATCTTCCTCGTCAGATTTCTATGTGCAGATGCCTTACACTCGACAACAGATTGAGGTTGTTACATCGCGATGAGTTTTCTCTATTCTGGAAGATTCCATCTCGAAACTGACCTCAGAATCCAGGTGCTTACAGATCAACCGGAAACTCTATTCATAACAGCTGTTTCAAAATAGTTTGCAGGTGAGTTAAGATGCATGCAACCTCGTCTTCCGGTTCCTAAACAGACGCCACCTGCACAAGATTTGTTTCAACTCATTCACAAAATGTGTTTCAACCCGAGGGAAGATGGACGGAAACAAGGCAAAAGGGATTTATGTGCCTCCATGAACGCTATTACCCCGGACACGAACAACCGGAAAACGTTCCGGACTTCTGCATTAACTTTTGTGTATATCAGATTCAAAACAAACTTCTCGTTAGATGAAGCGAAAACCCGCAATTTGTGAAATTAACAAACGAAAGGTAAGAATGCACGTGTTCACTATTCAGATAATATCGCAAAAATATTTCTTGACAAAACAGAAGTACAAACGCCTTGAAGCTGCAGGGTTCGTGCTACCTTCAAACAACTTTATTTCCCCTTAAAAACAATAGACATGTGAAACAGGAAAATGTTCACACAAAACTCAAGTTTGTGTGCGACGGCGCAGAGACGTCATATCAACCCACAAGGATTCAAAAGAGGGGGTGCAACTATTACTCCCAAAAAAACGACTTGTTTCAGAAACAGTCATGAAGAACCGAACCACTGCGATGTTCTACTTTCGACAGTTGGCGTTCTTGTGTACACGAACGAACTCGAAACTCTCTGCGGCGGTTTCGCGACTGCATATCCGTCATTCATTGCCGTTCAACAAGTGGCCGGCTGTCAACAGACACGAAGTCTCACTGGCCCGAATGTTCCCGAAGACAGTTCTTCGACGTCCACCGACAAGCAAAACTGTTTCCAGCATTGCCCTGAGATCATTCCTCCGAAATTAATGGCTCCTTTCCCTGGCAATGAAAACGATACCAAGATGCTTGGCTCGTCGCCTAGAAGAAGACAGTGCCTAACCACGCGAAACAACTTTGAAGCGGGACTGCGGTTCTGGGGGCTGGAGGAAGTGTCGCTGAATCTCGACCTCCGACCGGAAGTTCCTCTCCGAACGACTTCCTCTGTGCCACAGCGACTTCGCATGAGCGGCGATGCGTGTAGTACGCACAATGCGATAAAAACGATTGTCAGACGACAGACGCGACTTCAAGCCTTTCCGCTGTCGGACGCCAGTCGCAGAGACGTCTCAATGAGACGCCTGGCGTTGCATTTGTCTGCGCAGTTCCGCGTTCCCTGGCTTACGCGCACATGTTTTGAGAAAGTTGCGCTCCGCCTGGGATCTGCGGCTGAAACTCGATGATCCGGACATCTGATTGAAGACCAACAAAACAGTAATTGACATTTTTAAAGTTATCAGTACACAATTCTAATTTTCCTGTGCTTTCGGAGGACCGGGAGAGGCTTTTCTTAAAGTGGGGCAATCATTTTCGCGTCTTACTTTAAAATACGTCCGGCACAGATCGTCGTGGGTGAGAGTAACTGAATAAAAGCGACAAAACGCAATCTGTAATGAGAGGCTGAACATAAGACGTCGATCTTACTCGGACAGCATCGAACCAAGGGGAGAGTCGTTTGAAGTTTCTTATTCTCAATTCTTTCTCGAAGGCAACGAAACAACAGAAATTCGCTCTGGTTCCACGAAGTTGGTCATCTCCGTATACCAGGCCAGGACAGGTTCCTGGATTACCTTAGGTCAAGGAACGTGAAGAGAAACCACCGATAAGGGAAGTAACTCACAGAAATTAAATTAAACACGTGCAAGTGCGTACCTTATTTTAAAGTCGAGTCCGGAGTAAAAGAAAGAAAGAAAGAAAGTGGTGCTCAAACTCACCGGCAGCTGTCATCATGTCTATGAGCCTCTCCAAGTCAGGACTCAGATGTCGTTCTTCCTCTTCGCTCAACCCGAAGTCCAGGGCGCGAAATATGACGATGCCCAGGTACGACACCAGCTGAAACGAAGACAGAGTGCGTGAGGAGGGAACAAGTCCTCTGGGTGCAGTCTGCCAGAAGTTTACCGAAGAGGGAGGCGATACAAATCGTCACGAGGCCCACCGCCCCATCTCCCGCGACTGCCAACCTAACCTAACGAAAAGTAGACACAGAGCAAAGCAGGATGATTATGTTTCATATTTCTGAACAGACCTGAAGAACGAAGGAAAATAAAGGCACGTCTTTACAATACGTTAGAGTAGTACTTATATAGGCTTTTAATTTTCCAGAAGGTTGGGTTAGGTTGGTTATTCATTTTTGTGTGTGACTGAAATTCCGTCGAACAAGTGCCTTCCCACTTCCGGAACCAAGGGGTTCCGCGCATCAGCGAACTTCGAGTCGAAGCTCTGATGTGGTCAACGTGGAATGGAGTCCCCCGGTCCTCGTGAATTTGCCTGTTGCCAACGTATTAAGGCCCGCCAGTCGCAATGCGAAGAAACTCGGATTGCAACACTTAAAAGTTTCGGGGCCTCCAGAACGGACATGCATAATCCATCTCAGGGCGGCTGAGCTGCTTGACGGACAGGTCCCTTCTCCCTCAGGAGCTGCGATGATCTGGGTTCCTGGACGCCTTAACGCAGAACAGAGGCGCCGACCGAGACGGTGACAGCTTTCTGCACTGATTTCAGTTCTGTCGGCATGTGAACACGTACGACGGCAGTGCCACAGCTCAGGCGGTTATCTGCGAGGCACGAAACGTCGGATTTGCGGCGGACAAAGTGGGACAGGTTCTTCCGCCGTAATTCCGGCGTCACTACAAATTGTGTCGGCTTGGCAGTGGCTAAAATGCCTCGTTCCACACACTCTCGGCCATCGTCGGTAACCGCCACGCACAAGAAACAGCCACAACATTTCAGAAAAATCAGGAATATTTTGTTTCAACATTGATCGACTCTTTAAGGCAGCGGTTACAAGAAGTGCCCTTGTCGAGGCAATTCCATTCTTTAGGTGGCATCCAGCGACCTGCATAAGCAACTTGCTTGACTAGTGTGAACGAGGCTAACGCGGAAGTTGGCTCCATTCACGCGGTCCCCCAATTCCGAGCGAACCATCCACGTTCTTTGAACTCGTCACCTGCACAGCTGAACATTCTAAGCCCTCGCTCAAACCGGTCCAGCAGGTGAACAGCACAATGGAGTTCTGCTGACCTAGAGACGCCTCCACGCACCTCCTACTCCTCCGCAAAGCCTTGGTTCGCGTATCTCAGCTGCGTTTGCAATGTTTAGTCCTGGAGGCGTTTAGTCACGTCACAAGCAAAGAAATGAAGACTTTTTTTTAAAGAAACGCATTTCATTAACGAACTGTTTCATCGCGAAATTGTTTCCACTGAAACTTGTGTTTGCAGTCAATTACAATGATCAAGAGAAATCAATAATCCGCTTCTCACCGTCTCTGCAGCGCGTTTTAGGAAACCATGAAGGTACATCAACGCACAAGGCAGGAAGAACGTTCCGCCCTGATAATCGTCACAAACACCTTGATCTGCGCTCGATCTATACGCGCGTTCACACGCACCGAACTGGCATCCATCCGTGCTAATTAGTGCGTAAGACATCGAACTTCGTGGCATCCGCGCAACGCGGGACTTCAGCTGAAATTATTTTCCGACGTACGTTTTTAGTCTGTCTATCTGTTCCGGTCAGTGTGGCACGTGGAAAGACGACTGAAAATCGGTTCTTCGAAATTCCGAACGTTCTCCTTACACACGTTCCCTTCAGGCGATGTAAAAATGTAAGCGTACCTGCAAGCCTGTTTCAATAGGATGCGTTCGTTTCCGAAACGTCCACAGTAACACGCGAGGGAACGTGTTTAACGTTCTTGTCTACTAATTCGGTTGTCGAGAAAAAAGCATACATTCAGGGGCCCTCTAATTTGTACTGAAACGCATTTCAATCACGTGGTCTGGTGGTTCCAGCAGCAGCATCACAGATGTCGGCGAAGATGGAGGCGGTACGTACACCTGAGAAGACCGGCGCCAACATTTACTTGCACACAATCAGGGCTTTAACGACGTTCCACAAAGCGTTCAGTTGTCATCGCGTGAAATGAATCCTTGCGTTTCCGTTGCAAATGCCACAGGAATTAGAAGCAGGGCATTAGCATTGCAACAGTTGGCACACCTGCTGAAGAGTGAAGCGAACGCAGTTAATCGCACTTAAGACGAATGATGGGGGTAGAAACGACTGCTCCCGTAATTTGACGTGCTCTGAGTTCATGAAAGACCACGGACCGTCTTCCTCCACTCTCAAAAGAAACAACTTCGGACAAATGCACGTGACTTCTTTTATCGTGACAACTCCGAATGCTCCGGAATGTAAGATTCCTACGGTGACTTCTTTGACTGTGGCAGAGTTAGACGACGTTTCGACACAGACAATACAACGAAATCTGGTGAACGGCCGGACATCAACACAGTTTAAACTTCTGTCTTCTGAGATGTTACAACGTGCAGTCTGGTAGAAGGTTACCGACGTTTCAGAGGTACTTGCTGCCTCCAGGAACACGGCGATGTTTGCCGCTGCTGAGTATTGCCACTTAAAACTTTACCAAGTGAAGCTTGAGTTCTTTACTCACGAGAATTCCCAGTGCGCTTCGCCCTCCTAATTACTAATCCGAATTAGTTATTTTTACGTTTGCTTTTGTGAAAGCATCTCACGCTTAGTTTTTGCAATTTAACCGTAAGCTGCCTTTCTACCTTGCAAGGGGGTGGGGGGGGGGGGGGGGGGGTTTAGTTGGTCGCCTGCTAATTTGAACTCACAGTTAACATCGGTGGAATTCTGATCGCGATATGACGCGATTAGCAAAATAATTCAGTACACAATGCAGTATGTTAATTAAGGTAACGGAACAAGATTAATTCTACCGCTAGTTTCAACTACAACTGTGAGACGTTTCAGACGTTTTGCATTAACTGAATAAAGAATGGAACTGGTCGTGGGAAAGTTCACCGTCTGCAGACAATACCAGCGGCTATCTCGAATCGGTCTCTGGGTCAGCAATTCCGAACGGCTCCTGCTATTTCAGACAGAAAGTGTTGGCGTGTGGCTTTTTATACGCAGTCACAGATCACGGCATAACGAATAAAAGCCGCCCCCTTTCGACGATGTCGTCCTTGGTGGTCGTGACCGGAGAAACGCACTCTATCCGTCTCGAGGCCCGAAAGGTTTTCCACTGCACGGCGCCACACCGCAGATGAAGAACTTCGCCGTCTTGCGCCTGTAAAGAACACTTCACGCCGCTCCTTTCTGCAGCCAGCATCCGCATCTGAAGAATTAATTAAAACTCCGTTCTCGAGTCGTTGATGTTTTGAGACGAGTGGGCCTGAGGGACAAAGAAGACGCATGCATATCTGCACCTTCCTCGTTCCTGAAGTTGGTTCATTCTGCAGGGACCACCAATCCTTCCTTGTTCGCAGCTGCGAAACACCGCAACAAACCACAGCTCATTAGAACAGCGCCGAGGACCTCTCAGCATTTGCCACCTACAAACTTCAACACGTTGAATCTGAAAGTCAGAGGAGAAACAGTCTCCGGCTGAAGGAAATATTGAAGCACCTGTGTTTTACGGATCTAATGCAATAATATCGTTTCGTGAGGACGGACTTCTGCCAACGCCACGGATTTCAGAGCTCGCCACTGGAGATCCCTGGCCGACAGCGGAGGAAAGTGAACGAACTCTGAACAATACGTCGGTGCTGAGAGCGTCTTGGGCAGTCACGCGACTACGGAAAAGTAAAAACTGCCCAAAGGACGTGCAATTTTTACTGCACGTCGATTTCGGATTTTCGGGTTCCAAAGCATCACAAAAAATTGTACGTAAATACCAAGTCGCAAACACTGCCTCCATGTTCAGCCCCGATGATGGAAACAGCACGTTCCTCAGAATCTCCGATGTCTTTGCAATGCAAGGCGTCCTGCTCCAATAACTGACGCGTTTATTCGGAACAGAACGTGAGATGTCTTTCGACCTCCAAAAGAGCACACGTTGCAGACTCACGCAACTGCACTGACTTGGGCGAATAATTCAATAATCTCTTACATTCGGCGTGAGTTAGCATCAACAGAAACACCGAACCTCCACCTCCTCAAAACGGATCTCTTTCAAGATTCAGGTTGCTCAAACCGACCGAGGTTGGTAACCGAGTGTGACGGAAATTTCTGTTCACATTAGCCCCCAAGTAGAAATTGTGGTGCCCCGACAGTTTCCAAAATTACACAGTCCGCCTTTATCCCGTGCAGTGGCGGATTTTCGCCTGCCTCCAAGGACTCGCTGTTCGACCATGAAATGGGCGAAGTCAAAATCCGATTACCAATTAGAGCTTGTCAATTTAACTTTTTCGTGTAGGCGTCGTCTTAGGGGGAAGAACAAAGTTTTCCTCGGAGCCGGTAACATCACGCGCTCTCGGGCGAGTTTCAGACAGAGCGGACGTACGTCGCGTAATTTATATTGTGCGTTATACAACAGGGCACAAGAAGACGAGACGGCTAACCTGGTTTTTTAAATTAACGTCACCTGGCTTTCGCAGTCGCCGGGTCAGTGCTTAACAACTTGTTCGGTGTTGCGGAGTCCTGCTACTTTACTTAGAACAAATACCACTGCAATCACCAGCAGCAGTCACGAATCCCGCGAGACGATCTCAGCCCGAACTGTACCACCCTGCTTCGCCCATCTTCGCCGTAACTTCTTCGCGTCGATATTCCACAAATGCCTTCGTTGATTGGAGTTCGCTTCCCGGAATGAGCAGACGGTCATCTGGAGTGATGGGAATCGCCGACTTCGACAGTCAAAAGAATCCCGTTTCTACACGGCAACAAAAGTGAACCAACTACGGATCAGAAATTCTGTTCCGCATTTCAAATTTACTGGATCGTCAGAGGCAGCTTCAAGCAAGTTTTGAAAATGTCTGGCCCCGAATCAACCCAATGATTTTTGTTCTTGCTAACTTTCCTCGTTCTTTTTAGAATACAACGGCCCAGAATAAACGGGGGTTGTAACAACTGGTTGGTTCCTGTGAGGGACTGGGCGAGGCATTTTAGGCGATTTCAGTCGACGACCTCTCCAGAGCGGAAGTCTTCCTTCTCTCCGGCTGCAAATCCTAACGCGGGTAATTACTGAAACGACAGATTTGAGACTGAGAGGCAGTGACCACGCTTTCGCAGTAGTGCTTTCATTATTCTTGTTGTCAAGCTGTGGCGAAGTCCCTTGGAAGGAGGAAGTGATAACATTATTAGTGCGTCTCTTGAAGGAGGGAGACCAAATTTAAATTACTCGTATATGCGAGTTTCTCTGTGAAATAAACTACTAAATAAATAAACTTTATTCTACGTTCGATCGCCGTGAGTTCGCTGGAGCAGCAGTTCTTCGGGAACCTGCCTTCCGACAAGCACTGAAGCATAAATGAAATTTTAACTCAGCCCTCATTAAACTCTTAAGACAAATCATGTAAGGCATACGAACATCAACATCGGTGCATGGAAGGCGTTTACTAAGTGGTCGTTTATTGTCCACAGACGCCGTGAAAGCTCCATCAGAGTTCTCAGATCTGTATCAATCACTGCAGGAGATCTCTCCCGTTCATTAACT